GCCGTGGTTGGACTGGCCTGGGTTGGACTGGCCTGGGTTGGACTGGCCATGGTTGGACTGGCCGTGGTTGGACTGGCCGTGGTTGGACTGGCCGTGGTTGGACTGGCCTGGATTGGACTGGCCGTGGTTGGACTGGCCTGGATTGGACTGGCCTGGATTGGACTGGCCGTGGTTGGACTGGCCTGGGTTGGACTGGCCTGGGTTGGACTGGCCTGGGTTGGACTGGCCATGGTTGGACTGGCCGTGGTTGGGCTGGCCGTGGTTGGACTGGCCGTGGTTGGACTGGCCTGGATTGGACTGGCCGTGGTTGGACTGGCCTGGGTTGGACTGGCCTGGGTTGGACTGGCCTGGGTTGGACTGGCCTGTACGACAGCTGTAGTTGTTGTTAGAGAGAAGGAGACACACACTTTCATTAGAATGAGCTGCAAACAGGAGATTTAATTGAATTTTGCGCTGCTATATTTTACATATATTTGACGACTAAATAAATATGAACACGTTCCCTGAGCCCACGGATTATCCACGGTCCACAAAGAGCCGTGAGTATTGACTCAGAGCGGAGCGTCTCTAAAGTGGCCAGGTGGACAAACCTTCACTTCTATTTGTCTTGGCTCTGACCTTCTCCTTTTAGTGCCGGTAACGCTCAAGCTTCTGTAGATTCTGCACTATTTCACCACACAAATTGCTTTTCCGTCTTTCCCACCTCCACATTAACCACACAAATTGTCTCTGGTGACGATAATCTCTGTTCTGAAATACAATTGTGTCCGGGTCGTGTGGCGTTTTCAGAGTTGCGGCAGACTAAACTTTTCCTTCTCCTCTTTATGAAACGTATTTATCATCACAACTACAGATATTGTTTCCACTTAATGCTTTTAAAGATGACAAATTAGTGTGATGTATCGCCTCCACGTTTTTATCTGTTCCTCTCTCTGGGAAAATTCAGACTCACGAGTCGTTAATTGATGAGAAAAAGTATAGAACGGAGCGTTGAGGAAATATGGAATAACAGCGGAAAATTCTGTTTGTTTTAGCGCCTCACATTTAAATGGAACTCATGTGAAAAAAGTCCTGCACCAGTAGAAGATTTTCAGATAAATTGGGACCATATCAGTTTTATCCTGGTCTTACCCATAGACTGTATATATTAATGGACAGAGTCAGGCCTATCTCCGCCGTTCTAACTAATGGGCCAAATAATGTGCTCTACTGGAGCAATCCAAAATGGCCGCGAGTGGTGCCGCCCACAAGAAAATTGTGAAAAAACGCATCTGCGCATGCGTCAGCCGGAGCAGCTCCATTCATTTGAACGAGAGACTTCAAAGATTCACAGCGACTAAACTAGAGTGGACCAAAACACCCCCCTCAGCATTGACACACATGTGGAACGGAGCTTTGGGCCAAGAGACAACTTTTGGACCATCCTGTAAAGATGATTTTGAGAGGTCTGCTAATGCTATATGTTAGCATTGGCTAATTCTTCTTCTGGGTCCACCCCCACAGGCCCGGGGTGGTACTGCAGCATGTCAGCGCACGTCATTTTGGCCACTTTTGAGCTGGGACCCTCCCCCACTGGTCTTACCACACCACCGTACTCATTTCATTTGTACTAAGGTCTGGATTGTCTCCATTGACTCCGTTAACAGGTGGGAGGGGCTAACTCCTTTTGCAAATTGAAACCATTGGATCTGAGTTTACTGTGACGTATGTAATCAGCCCGAGTGAGTGAGGCCTTTAGCATTTGGTATTTAGCCTAGCTTTAGCATTTAGCCTAGCTTTAGCAATTAACATGGATACATGGTACTTCAGTTTTTTCCACAAAAAATGCGTTTTCAAGTCAAGTCATCATTAAAGGGCCCTAATCTGTCCTCATTAAAGGGCCCTAATCTGTCCTCATTAAAGGGCCCTAATCTGTCTTCATTAAAGGGCCCTAATCTGTCCTCATTACAGGGCCCTAATCTGTCCTCATTAAAGGGCCCTAATCTGTCTTCATTAAAGGGCCCTAATCTGTCCTCATTACAGGGCCCTAATCTGTCCTCATTAAAGGGCCCTAATCTGTCTTCATTAAAGGGCCCTAATCTGTCCTCATTAAAGGGCCCTAATCTGTCTTCATTAAAGGGCCCTAATCTGTCCTCATTAAAGGGCCCTAATCTGTCTTCATTAAAGGGCCCCAATCTGTCCTCATTAAAGGGCCCCAATCTGTCCTCATTAAAGGGCCCTAATCTGTCCTCATTAAAGGAACCTAATCTGTCTTCATTAAAGGGCCCTAATATGTCTTCATTAAAGGGCCCTAATCTGTCCTCATTACAGGGCCCTAATCTGTCCTCATTAAAGGGCCCTAATCTGTCTTGATTAAAGGGCCCTAATATGTCCTCATTAAAGGGCCCTAATCTGTCTTCATTAAAGGGCCCTAATCTGTCCTCATTAAAGGGCCCTAATCTGTCCTCATTAAAGGGCCCTAATCTGTCTTCATTAAAGGGCCCTAATCTGTCCTCATTACAGGGCCCTAATCTGTCCTCATTACAGGGCCCTAATCTGTCTTCATTAAAGGGCCCTAATCTGTCCTCATTAAAGGGCCCTAATCTGTCCTCATTAAAGGGCCCCAATCTGTCCTCATTAAAGGGCCCTAATCTGTCCTCATTAAAGGGCCCTAATCTGTCATCATTAAAGGGCCCTAATCTGTCTTCATTAAAGGGCCCCAATCTGTCCTCATTAAAGGGCCCTAATATGTCCTCATTAAAGGGCCCTAATCTGTCTTCATTAAAGGGCCCTAATCTGTCCTCATTAAAGGGCCCTAATCTGTCATCATTAAAGGGCCCTAATCTGTCTTCATTAAAGGGCCCTAATCTGTCCTCATTAAAGGGCCCTAATCTGTCATCATTAAAGGGCCCTAATCTGTCTTCATTAAAGGGCCCCAATCTGTCGTCATTAAAGGGCCCTAATCTGTCATCATTAAAGGGCCCTAATCTGTCATCATTAAAGGGCCCTAATCTGTCATCATTAAAGGGCCCTAATCTGTCATCATTAAAGGGCCCTAATCTGTCATCATTAAAGGGCACTAATCTGTGATAATAATAAACTGTTCTTTTCCAATACTTCTTTAACTGATAACAGTCGTTCAGAGATATTTGAATTTCTAAATTACTTTTCCAGCCTCTAAATCTTGTTATTGTTTTCATTTCAATGTCCCGCCCTCCACTGAGTCAGGGAGAGTGGGAGAGGCTGCAGTACCACTTTTGGCCACATGTTTACGTACTGCTGCTTTAAACTCATTGGACCTGTGTGTCACTTCTGTATATAGTGTATTTTACTTCTCCTCAGACCAACCTCTTCTTGGATTCTGCTTCTACATGTATATTATTTGTCAGTGGCATTAGGAAGTGTCACTATAATGGATTGTGATATTCCTACAGCAACACAATACATGCAGAGCCTCGCATAATGACTTGGCACAACATTATGATGGATGCCTTTGTGAGATTCCAGAATCCCAGTATTATATAAACACGAGCTTACACATTCTGACAAACACCACAGAACGACAGACACTGCTCTTTCCAACTTCTATTCAAACTGTACAGTAGGACCGCAGCAGCATGTGTGTGAATCTATAGTCTATTTTAACTGTTTTGTTATCATAGTCTGGATATACTCTATACCTGAACTGTCCCAGCCTGGTCTTACCAAACCATGGTACTCATTTCATGTCATACTAAGGTCTGGATTTGCTCCATTGACTCCGTTAACAGGTGGGAGGGGCTAACTCCTTATTTAGCATTTGGCCTAGCTTTAGCATTTAGCCTAGCATTAGCCATCTCCTTTGCCTCTAACGGAGCCCGTGGGGAGTAGAGCCACAACATCTTTGCTTCAATGACATTTACTAAACATTCCTCTTGCTCCGGCTTCAGTTTCTTGATATTTGGATTGAACCAGAACAGATTATTTTACTATCGCATTCTCCGACAAACTACAACCAGCAAATTCAGCACAAACTCTTGACGTCACTGACACCGACCTACAACACCCGCCTCCCCCGCTCTCTGATTGGTCGGATTCAACCGAGGAAACTGCAGCCACTAGGATCAGACCCAGACGTACATGTAGGAAATGACCATGGACCAGAGTTTACACATGGTAAGACCAGACGTACATGTAGGAAATGATCATGGACCAGAGTTTACACATGGTAAGACCAGACGTACATGTAGGAAATGATCATGGACCAGAGTTTACACATGGTAAGACCAGACGTACATGTAGGAGATGACCATGGACCAGAGTTTACACATGGTAAGACCAGACGTACATGTAGGAGATGATCATGGACCAGAGTTTACACATGGTAAGACCAGACGTACATGTAGGAGATGATCATGGACCAGAGTTTACACATGGTAAGACCAGACGTACATGTAGGAAATGATCATGGACCAGAGTTTACACATGGTAAGACCAGACGTACATGTAGGAGATGATCATGGACCAGAGTTTACACATGGTAAGACCAGACGTACATGTAGGAAATGATCATGGACCAGAGTTTACACATGGTAAGACCAGACGTACATGTAGGAGATGATCATGGACCAGAGTTTACACATGGTAAGACCAGACGTACATGTAGGAAATGATCATGGACCAGAGTTTACACATGGTAAGACCAGACGTACATGTAGGAGATGATCATGGACCAGAGTTTACACATGGTAAGACCAGACGTACATGTAGGAGATGATCATGGACCAGAGTTTACACATGGTAAGACCAGACGTACATGTAGGAGATGATCATGGACCAGAGTTATTCTTTATGACGTTAACTCCTTGTGTGACTGTTTCTATCTTATCTTATCTGTTTGTTCAGCACTTTGAGTTGCCATGTGTATGAATTGTAGTATACAAAAAAACCTGCCTTAAAACCAGCTGTCGTCTCACTGATAACAATACGACAGAACAAACCCCAGCTGAGCGTCCCCACACAGCGAGCTAACGTTAGCTTATATGGATGGTAGAAGGCTGGAGTACTCACGGTTGGCAGAGTTTGATGAGGTCCTGGTCCGTGGTCCCTGGAGGAAGGCCCCGTATGTAGAGGTTGGTCTTACTGAGCTGCTCCGCCCCTCCCTGACTGCAGCTGTTGGTGCCGGGGCTGGGAGGAGCCATGGGGTGTGCAGGCGGAGCATACGGCTGCTGCAAACAAGAAAACACAGAGAACAGACATTAGCAATGATAAGATAAGATTAGATTGTCCTTTATTGGTCCCACAGTGGTCATAGTCGCACATTACAGCAGAAGAAGAAGGAAATAAGACTCAGGCGCACACATCAGACAGTTTATTTAAGATCATAGACAGAATTAAAATAATAAGATGGTAAAATAGAATAAAATAAACTCTGGAGCTATAATTGCACTTGGTTCAGAAGTGTTTACAGATGTGAATCATGGATGTATTAGAACAGTCTTCCCAAACGTTTTTGAGCCATTGAAAACAATCACCACCAGCTGAAAGTGATACAAAAGGAACAAAGCAAGTCTAAATCATCAAAGTTTATATAAGAATCAAGCAAGGACAAAACAAGTCTTTCTAATCTTCTCTTTCTTTTCACAGAATTTTGACCAATTTGGTGATATTGGATAATTTCCAAAGGGACACCAAACATTCTCTCGAGGTAGATTAAACGTGCCACGACCCACAGGTTGAAAAACATAGTTATAATATCTGGACAGGGTAAAACTGGCTTTTAGCTGAAGGACCATGTGCTCAGGGATTCTACTGCAGACTAAACCAGACTAAACCAGACTAAAGTCACGTGGGCTACACAGACATTTCCCCATAGAACTCAATGTAAACTAAAACAGCTCGACATCAGCTGACAGAGAACCTGACTGAGAACCTGACAGAGAACCTGACAGATAACCTGACAGATAACCTGACTGAGAACCTGACTGAGAACCTGACTGAGAACCTGACTGAGAACCTGACTGAGAACCTGACTGAGAACCTGACTGAGAACCTGACAGAGAACCTGACTGAGAACCTGACAGAGAACCTGACAGAGAACCTGACAGAGAACCTGACTGAGAACCTGACAGAGAACCTGACAGAGAACCTGACAGAGAACCTGACAGAGAACCTGACAGAGAACCTGACAGATAACCTGACTGAGAACCTGACAGAGAACCTGACAGAGAACCTGACTGAGAACCTGACAGAGAACCTGACAGAGAACCTGACAGAGAACCTGACAGAGAACCTGACAGAGAACCTGACAGAGAACCTGACAGAGAGCCTGACAGAGAACCTGACTGAGAACCTGACTGAGAACCTGACAGAGAACCTGACAGAGAACCTGACTGAGAACCTGACTGAGAACCTGACTGAGAACCTGACAGAGAACCTGACAGAGAACCTGACTGAGAACCTGACTGAGAACCTGACTGAGAACCTGACTGAGAACCTGACTGAGAACCTGACTGAGAACCTGACTGAGAACCTGACAGAGAACCTGACAGAGAACCTGACAGAGAACCTGACAGAGAACCTGACTGAGAACCTGACTGAGAACCTGACTGAGAACCTGACTGAGAACCTGACTGAGAACACTGACCTGACGAGAACCTGACAGAGAACCTGACTGAGAACCTGACTGAGAACCTGACTGAGAACCTGACTGAGAACCTGACTGAGAACCTGACAGAGAACCAGACAGAGAACCTGACTGAGAACCTGACAGAGAACCTGACAGAGAACCTGACAGAGAACCTGACAGAGAACCTGACAGAGAACCTGACAGAGAACCTGACAGAGAACCTGACAGAGAGCCTGACAGAGAACCTGACTGAGAACCTGACTGAGAACCTGACAGAGAACCTGACAGAGAACCTGACTGAGAACCTGACTGAGAACCTGACTGAGAACCTGACAGAGAACCTGACAGAGAACCTGACTGAGAACCTGACTGAGAACCTGACTGAGAACCTGACTGAGAACCTGACTGAGAACCTGACTGAGAACCTGACTGAGAACCTGACTGAGAACCTGACAGAGAACCTGACAGAGAACCTGACAGAGAACCTGACAGAGAACCTGACTGAGAACCTGACTGAGAACCTGACTGAGAACCTGACTGAGAACCTGACTGAGAACCTGACTGAGAACCTGACAGAGAACCTGACTGAGAACCTGACTGAGAACCTGACTGAGAACCTGACTGAGAACCTGACTGAGAACCTGACAGAGAACCAGACAGAGAACCTGACTGAGAACCTGACAGAGAACCTGACAGAGAACCTGACAGAGAACCTGACTGAGAACCTGACTGAGAACCTGACTGAGAACCTGACTGAGAACCTGACTGAGAACCTGACTGAGAACCTGACAGAGAACCTGACAGAGAACCTGACAGAGAACCTGACAGAGAACCTGACAGAGAACCTGACTGAGAACCTGACAGAGAACCTGACAGAGGACCTGACAGAGAACCTGACTGAGAACCTACAGCTTTCATAATGATCGGATTTTAGTGTCCCTTGTCGTCCTAAACTTTTTGTTTTCTTAAATCCTTCGGTTTTCTATAAATCCACACTTTAGTGCCACAAACTCTGCTCAATCGTCTCCCGCTCTAACTCTTCTCTGATTGGTCAGAACCCTGCCCCTCTGTGCACGTGCATGAGAGCCCCACACACGTATTTGGCGCAAAGCATCATGGGAGCTCGTCCACTGCGCAGAACCGGAAGAACCAGAGGCATGACCAAATATGGTTCTGCTAATCTCTCGGTGTCCATGGTGAGGCGCCACTGAGCACAACCCACTGATTTGAACAGGCCGCCATCTTGGATCACCGGCTCGACGACAAAAGCACAATTAACACTCACAATTTAAAATAATCTGCTTTAAGAATCACTCTAAATGTGACTCAAATGGATTGGATTGAATAAAGCGTTGATGAAGCGTCTCTGAGGATGAAGCAAACCTCGAACCTTTGCGTACGTTTTTATTAGATTTGAATTTTTCACCGAGGAAATCAGTCTTTATGAGGCCTCCAGCTGCTTATAACCGCTTTAAACGACGCTAGCCTCCAAACCTCAAAACCAATTACTTTACACTGTGAAACAATTTACTCCCCCATGATATCTTGATGCAGTAATCCTCGCCTTTTTTTTCCGAACATCTTCACGCGGAGGTCTTTTCTCCGTGTCTAATCTCCAGCGGTGTTTTCACAATGTATTCAACGCAACCTTCCTATTCCCAGCGCCATCGCCTGTTGTGCTGTTAGCGCAGATTTATGGTACAGGAGTCAGGGCCCTTTGCACACAACCCATTTACTATATCTCTATTGCGGTGACAGAGTGAGAGAGTGGGGGCCGGTGGGCATGAGACCGAGGGAGGTGGGGAGAGAGGGGGGAGAGAGGGGGGAGAGAGGAGGCTGCTGCAGTGACGTTTGGAGTGATGGATGTGACCATAGATGGAGAACAAGACTGAGTACCAGCAGGACCTGTATGCCCAAGCCATAAGACCTGGAACTTAATTCTGTGGAGAATCTTGTGAGCGTCATTACTCTCTTTGAGCGTCGCAAAAAAACAGACAGAGCAAGATTCTTTTTGAAATAAAAGTGAAAAATATGAGCTGTACTTTTTAGTATCTCGAGGGACATTTTAACCTCTGTATTTGACCCATCTCCAAATGTCGATACTTGGACTTCAAAAGCTGGGTTAAGCATGCATTTGGGTGGTGGGGTTAAGATTAAGATTAGGAGATTATACTTTTTCCCAGAGTGGAGAAATGTCAGTGTTGCTTCACAAGATAAATGAACAATGAAATAAAATAAACCGGAGCAACAAGTACAACCTACAGTATCTAGCCGGGTCTTACCAAACCACTGTACTCATATCGTTTCATACTAAAGTCTGGATTTGCTCTTTCTAACTCTAGCATACAAAGAAGCAGTATAAAATCTATCTGTGGCATAATAAGGAAAGAGTCTTAAAAACTCCACATTTAGCACAAAGAAGAAGCGAGACTTAAGAAAAAAACCCTTGACTTCAGTGCAATAAGGAGTAAGTATAAAATGCTGTATATTCTAGTACATGTCATATTTGGTTGTGTGTTTACAAGAGCGTCACGGTGGCTGAGTGGATTGCACTCTCGCTTCTCAGCAAGGCCCCGTTCCGACCAGATTCAAACTTAAGTTCTGAGTGGAGTTTGCATGTTCTCCCCGTGTCTGTATAGGTTTCCTCCTGGTACTCCGGTTTCTCCTACCACAAAAAATATGTACAATAGGTCTGTGCCTCCTGTACTGGCCCCTCCCACCTCTGTGTGTGGACTGACAGACTAATGCCCACAACTGTAAACCACTTTGACTCTGGTCTGAGAAAGGCGCTATATCAACAAAGATTACTTACTTACAAGAAACCAAATATTTAGCAATATCAATCAGTCTGAAGCCTTAAATTAGCCTCAATCTTTCTTTCTAGAGCGTTTTTCCTACACAGGGCAACACCAAACGCAGTCCACATCGCACAAGGCACAAATCATTGCATAAAAACCCCAGAATCACCATTTAAAACACAATTAAAAATCACACAAGAGATTAAAACCATTAAAACAAAATCACACAAGCGGTTAAAAGATTAAATACATTTATCTCTGCATTAATAATAGTAGTTTGCACAGACAGAACCTGATTCACCGTCTTGTTAGACTTTATAAAAAATCTAGAATGACTTTTGACCTCTTGACAATTTGGAATTACAAGGTAAACCCCGAGATTCACTTCTGACCTTTCCTGCCCTGAACATTGTCCAAGTTTTGCTCCAGGCTTTTCCTCGACCAGACGTGGAAGTCAGGCCGAGGGTAAAAGTTACACAGAGCTGCTTTAACCCCTGTGCCTCCCGGGGGCCTCCCTGCAGACCACACAGCAGGCCCCGCAGACCTCTCTCCCGCCCGAGCGTGGGTGATTTGATGTGCTATTTTAAGCGTGTGCGCCATGCCAGCGTGTCTCCTCGCTCTGCGCAGACAAAGGGTCCCTGGAGCGTGAAAGGGGAGCCACGTCCGTCACTGGTCGGACCAATTACCACGCTGGGCTAAGTGGAACCGATGAGCAGACACATGCAGCGCGAGGACCACACTGTACACATGAGCGGAGCTGGGGAAAGGTTTTTCCAGGTGAATGAGAAGCGCTGACTTCAGTTCAGTTCATCAAAGTCTAAAATATAAAAGATGTCCAGCTTTCTTTTGGAGATGATCCGACCCTCTCCAAACTCTCTGGCCCTGCGCACAGAGCTTTATCTGGAATGTTGCACAGTATACGGTGGTGTTGTCTCCCTGTGGACCAGTACTTGGCAGACCCTTTCATTTTGGTTAAAGCCAGCAAAAACAAGACCATTCAAAATAGACATTTGTAAGACCAAACCACAGGTCTATCCCCGGTGAGCAGGGATTTGAAATGCTGCCCCAGGCCTGAGTTATGGGGCAATACATTCATCACTTGTTTCAGGTCAGAGCATTTATCCAGGACTGGTCCAGGACTGGTCCAGGACTGGTCCAGGACTGGTCCAGGACTACCTTGTAAAAGAGGTCTTTCCTGGTTAAATAAAGGTTAAATCCAAATACCAAAAATCCATGAATCACACAACAGCACAGAGGTTATTCAGATTTAAAGATGTGGAGTAAATAACGGAAAACAGCGTGTCTTTGTGTTGCTATAGTACGGCTGCAATTATTTTGACAATAAGTTATTTGTCTGATTAATCTTTCATTTAATATTCCGGAAAGGTTGGTGAATATTTTTATACTTTTGCCCCTGGAGAAGATCTAAATCAACATGCCATATTTTAAATCAATGCATTATTGAAGTCATTATAAAATTATTCGTCATTCCCGGAAGTCTGTATATGCACTAGTATATGCCTAGCCTGGTCTTACCACACCATAGTACTCATTTCATTTCATACTAAGGTCTGGATTGTCTCCATTGACTCCGTTAACAGGTGGGAGGGGCTAACTCCTTTTGCAGATTGAAAACATTGGATCTGAGTTTACTGTGACGTATGTAATGAGCCCGAGTGAGAGAGGCGTTTAGCCTAGCTTTAGCATTTAGCCTAGCTTTAGCCATCTCCTTTGCCGCTAACAGAGCCCGTGGGGAGTAGAACCACAACATCTTTGCTTCAATGACATTTACTAAACATTCCTCTTGCTCCGGCTTCAGTTTCTTGATATTTGGATTGAACCAGAACAGATTATTTTACTATCGCATTCTCCGACAAACTACAACCAGCAAATTCAGCACAAACTCTTGACGTCACCGACACCGACCTACAACACCCGCCTCCCCCGCTCTCTGATTGGTCGGAGGGGATTCAACCGAGAAAACTGCAGCCACTAGGATCAGACCCAGACGTACATGTAGGAAATGACCATGGACCAGAGTTTACACATGGTAAGACCAGACGTACATGTAGGAGATGACCATGGACCAGAGTTTACACATGGTAAGACCAGACGTACATGTAGGAAATGATCATGGACCAGAGTTTACACATGGTAAGACCAGACGTACATGTAGGAGATGACCATGGACCAGAGTTTACACATGGTAAGACCAGCGTTCACACATGGTAAGACCAGAGTTCACACATGGTAAGACCAGAGTTCACACATGGTAAGACCAGTCTAAGGTCTTTTCCTGAATGTTTTCTTCAATGTCTTTATTATAACATTTACAAACTTGGGAAAGGTACTCACTGTTTAAACTCCTCCTTCCTATGCAGTCTGTTTATGGACTTACTGTAAATACAATAAAACACAAACCACCTCTGAATCCATAAATCTCCCCAAATCCAGCGTTAAACTCACAGAACGCCCGACAGACCCGTTCTTCCGGGACCTCCTGCACCCTTCCCATTCGTCATCCCAGAGGATTGTGCTTTGTTTTATTCCTTCTGTGATAACCTTGCTCTCCGCCTCTAAACCCAACACTGTAAGTAATGTGCCGAGTTTGACCCTCCATGGCTCATTGTGTAAGACTTCAGCCCCTGACCTTAAGAAATGAAAGCAAATCGATGGGTGGGACGCTTGGATTCCACGGCCACACATGCAAGCCCAGAGCCGGGGTGGGCTTTGGGGCCGCGGCGGAGCTAAAACAATGCAGTAAGGCAATGGGGAAGGCAATTACAGTAGCACCACCGAAACCAGCGAGCTAGCTTAAAATCCATACACCCGCCTTAAACAGGAAGTGATAAATGGCACATGTTTCTTAAGATAACTCCACACACAACAGAAGGTTAATCCTCCACCTCTTTGGTAAACAAATCTGATGCTAAACAGTCAAGAGTGGCCTTACTTTGAAGCGAAAGCCAGATCCCGAGAGAACTCTGAAGCTAAGCAGGGCAGGGCCTGGTTAGTGCTGTGATGGGAGACCTCTGGGGACAGCAGGGGCCACAGTGGGGCGGCTGCGGCTGTAAAGTGCCAAACTGTGGTTGTGTCCTTAGGCAAGACACTTCCTCCACATTAGAATGAGTCTGGTGTGTGTGTGTGAGTGGTTGGTGGTGGTGGGAGGGGCTTCTGTCAGTGTGCCCCAGGGCAGCTGTGGCTACAGTAGTAGTTTATTATCTCACTCCAAACACAGTGGTGATAATGATGTGAAGAGACTTTGAGAGTCCAGAAAAGCGCTTTATAAAACCAATTAATTATTATTAGTATTATTATTACTAATTTCATAGTGATTTACACACGACCTGTTTGTCACCTTTAAAGACCAGATTCTGCTGTATTTATAGTGCGCCCATGTTAAGCACTACTTAATTCCAGGTGGAGGGCGTATGGTTTCTAACCTCTGGCGCTTCGGGACGACACCGTAGATAAAAAAGGTGAAAATCTCAAAGTGATAGAACAAACTTCGGCTCTGCACACTCCAGTGACTTTGAGCTGGACTCAGTAACTTTGAGTGAGACAGAATCTTCTATATTCTGCTACAGCGGGGCACGACTGCAGATACATCCTGTCTCTGTCTGACCAAGGCCAGCCAAAGAGAACAAGAGGTGAAAGTTATGTTGTCGGATGGAAGTTTAAATACAGTAAGGAAGGACATTTCCACTAGACCCTGTGTATAGATACTTTTTGTTAATGTATTCCAATGTGGTGTTTTTACTGCAAATGGCAAATAAACTGAATCTGAATCTGAATATACGTATATATATAATACCATGCTCCGTACTTTCTACACATTCACATCAGACCAAAGTTAAATCCACAGAACATGGTGAAGCAGTAAAGCAGGCAAGTCCAAACTAAGGCCCGAGGGACAATTGCGGCCGCTTGTGTCATTCTAACCGGCCCTATGCCTCGCTAACCCAAAATACCATTGAGATTATAAACACAAGTTCATAGTGTTATCCATTCAACTTCTGCATCTCCAATACTAGCGACTTTGTTATACGTCATTGCAAACTCAGAACCTTTTGAATCCCGTTATGTTTATGCGCTGACATTTTGTTTTTCATACGGCACAAAAATGATGTAGCTATTGAGAAAGCCTTTCAACTAAACTCAGCTCTCACAGATGTTATATATGTATAAATGGTCACGTGACACCTCATTTAGAATCTCAAAACAGACCCATTCCAGTCAAAATAGTTTTACAATCCTAGATAAAAGTGTGGACGCTCCTGCAGTAAAGTTGGAATCACATAAATGCCCATTTCTAAGTATCAGGTCATATTGATGGACAATATCTAAGCTTATATAAGTGTCTAAATTCATCGTTTTTATTATTTTATATTCAGATCTGCCCTGGACAAAGCTGTAGGACCCTCTAACCTGGAATGCCACACCCACAAATCCACTTTGTCGAGCCAATCCAATCAGAAAGGTCGCTCACAGGGTTACGTCAGATTTATTTCCTGTTTTATTTTGTAATGTACTAACCCCTGTGTGTTTTGTAGTTGTACTTCCTGTTTGTTTACGGGCCCCGCCCTCTTGTATATCACCTGTGTCTCGTTAGCATTGTATCTTAGCCGCCACTGTCGTTCCACGTCCGTTTTAGTTCTTGTCCTTGATTGGTTCCGTTTTGTGGTTTTATTTTTATCATCTTGCATTCTTGTAAATCAAAAACATATGCAGAATGTAAATAACTCTGTTCTATTCATCTGCAACTTTCTCCTTGGCTCACGGCTGGCGGCCTGTCTGGGGTTTGCCGATTGGTTTGTCTCTGTCCATCTGTGAGCGTTCTGCAGCTCGCTCGGCTCTCATGGCTGCGAGCCCAGACTAACTTCTCTTTCTAGAAAAGACGGGGAGATTCCAGGCTTCTCCGGACACACACGGAACCATATTCTCGAAGAGCTTTCAATTAGATTCATGATCAGAGGCCAACAACAACAGGATACACAGACCACACCAGGAGACTCCATCGGCCAAACAGTAGATGAACAAATGTAACCTAATATTGTTATTTTTTCATTATACCGTGGTCCATTGTTTATCGCAGGGTTACGTTCTGGAAATAACCTGCAATAAGCAAAATACGTTCACAGTGTCTCATTCCACACAGAAATGGGAGCGAGGTCGCCTACAGGAGGCCCGTGCCAGACCTATTGTAATGTTGTTAGTGGAACAATCTTCTTGAAAATGTGAGACAGGCCTCTTCTCTGCCAATGTTTAAACCCAGGTTCTATTCGGCTGTGGGATTTTATATATTTAACTTTCTTTTTAATGTACTGTAATTATTTATGTGCGACTGTTTCTATCTTGTTTTGTTTAGATCTTTGAGTTGCCTTGCCTAGTGGTTGGGGAAACCGGAGCACCCAGAGGGAACCTACGCAGACACTGGCAGAACATACAAACTTCACTCAGAAAGGCCCTGTTCCGATTTGAACCCAAGACCTTGTTGCCAAGAAGCGAGACACCGGACTGAGCGGCGGGAGCAGGACTGAGAGCGAGGGGAAGACCGCGATCGTCCTCTGAACCAACTCTTACTTTAAATAAAGGTAACTGTCATATTGTACGCTAGAATTAGACACACAAACCAGCTAAAATTACGAAAGGTTTGGTTGTTTTTTTTAAATTCTTTTCATGAAAATGCAAACTGACACAAGTATAATGTATAAGTATGCGCCCTCAGCCTGACACCTAGTTTTTTGTCGGATGGTTGTGTATTTTGATAGTAGTAGTAGTAGTGAGTGTGTTTATTTGGGAATCTAGAAGATACAAAAACAATCGTACAAAAGAGAAGCACAGAAAACACAACAGCCCAAAACGGACTTCGTAGAAGCTGGAATAACTTATCTGGACCTGATGATATTCGATAGATTCTGTCAGGCCTCTGGGCAGAGAGAAGCAGCTGCAGCCATCTTGGTTGTAGTCCTCTGCTAATTTAAAGCTGCACTAACAGACTTTGTGATTTCCAAGCAGCGGTTTCAAAAGTAAACTCTGGCCTTGCTCTTTCTCCTCCCCTCCCCACACCCACGAAGCTATCGCCCCCCCACCACCCCACACCCACTGTTCATGTCTCACAATATGGATCGCACATTTGAACGTGGCGTGACCATAGAATGATAGAAGCGGGAAGCGTGGAGGAACAAGACTTTCTTTTGTCTGTTTCTCTGAGTAAGCAGAAGCCGGTAACAAAGACACAGAAGTTTCAGGTTAGCCTCCGCCGCTTGTTTACCTCAGCTGTCTGTGCTAACCACAGACCTGTGGCTTTTCTCAAGAAAGTGGGGGCCAGTGGTCCGCTGTGATTGGTCACAATCTGGACCCGAAACACATTCTCTTCCTTGTTTCATGAAAACTCGATCTAAAATAAAATGACACGCCAGTACAAATCTGCGCTACTTATTCATCAAAAGGACGTTTATCCCAACGCACTGAAGGATATGGATTGAATGTCCCAAATGAATACAAAAATAAAGTGAGATAATGCAGCTTTAAAGGTGAAGACGTAGAGAGGGATGACTGTACAGCCTTATTTTGAAGCCTTCATGTAGAACCAACCGAGCAAACATCACAGCCGCACATCCACAGGGTTGGCCTTGTACGGTCGCCCAAAGTGAGGTCAAAACCCAACTTGTTTGTCTTTCTGAACTCTCTCCTCGAGGCTTCTCTGGCTCTTGTTTACCCGCCGCATGCCATCCCATAAGAGCCGCCTTCCCAAATGTGTAATATCGGTCTCATGTCAGAGCGACGGGGATTGAATTCCATGCACTTGATAATACGAGATTGAGGAAAAAATAAAAAAACACAAACCTAGAGAAAGAAAATGGCCCGAACCGGCTCGGAACGCGGCGGCCGGGATCGTAGCCGCGATATTTGACACTTGAAAAACCTCCAGGTGGTAAATGGGAAAGCGCGCTCCTCTGGCTTTCCCCGAGCCAGCTGTGACACGCCGCTACACGGGGCTTAGTCGGGGGTTTTTCAATTTGCGGCAGCGTGTTTGAAACGAGGAGAATAGTTTACACAGGCGCAATTTAGCAAGCGGTGCTGGGGCCGGTGCAGGCGGGAGGGGGGGGTATGTTCCCCCGTGACGTGCCAATGTTTACGAGTGTATTAAGTGATAAATCGTGTTACATAGAGCCCACGATGCAGCGCTGTACATTTATACGCCCACACAGGGACACGGCTGTTTTGGTTCGACAATGTAGCTCTCAGTTACAGCACAAGACGGTAAAGGTTTTCTCTCTCTCTCTATATATACAGTGAACGGAATCATTTGCACCGAGGGAGGCTTAAACAGATACGAGCAAATGAGCAAGCTGCGTGCGATGAATAGTTTATTGAAAATATACTATGGAGTGTTGAACTTTGAGACGTCAGCAGTGTTCTGATGATGGATTTGTTCGTGGGAATTCTGTCTGAAAACTGGTGGTGGTTAAATGAGAAAGGGGAGAGTGAGCGGCTGATGCTAAGGAAGTTATTATTGCCCACAGTCAAAGTATTTTACGAGGACGTGTATTTTGCAATCTGCGAACAACTACTAGCTACAGACGGACCGCACTCTGAATGGGAAAGAGTCTAAAGTATAATGGAGATATAGTACGAGTCTACTTTAGCTACATATTTGGGCTTTTAACCATTACTACAACATCCAATACAGATAAAACTACAGATACAGTAAACAGTTTGATCATTTTAACTTTACTATTATCATTCTGATTGTTCATCTCATTTCTTAAGTCTCTCAAAAACCAAAATGACCCGCAGAAAGCAGCAGAGTTAGGCTTAGAAGGACTGATAAAAAGGTGGTGACAGTCCACGGTAATTAGACAACACACCATACACGTTAGCATTAGCGATAGCATTAGCGATAGCATTAGCCTGATCTACAAAGTGTCTGTGACTGATGAGAAACGGTGCAAAGCGTTGAGTAACTTTCAAAAAGAAAACACAATGTTATCTTTGGAATAACTCAAATTCCTTAAAATGGTTTACATTACAGGAAACATCAGGTTAGAGATAAGAGCCACAAAGAGCAGGAAACGGGTAAAAGTGGTCTCTCTCTCTCTCTCTCTCTCTCATCCTCTTCCCTGTCTCCCTCTCTCCTCCCCCTCCCTCCCCCCCTCCACCTCCCCCCCCCTCCATCTCCCCCCCCTCCATCTCCCCCCACCACCTCCCCCCCTGAGCGTGTAGCAGAGTCTGTGTGCAGCAGCAGCGTAGTAATTGGCTCTGATTTATAGGAGGCCACCGCAGCCGAGGAGAGCGAGCGTAACGCTGGCACCGGGCCACACAGGGCACAGCTTCAATATGACCCAACCTCCACACAGCCGCCATGACACCTGTGTGACACAGCCGCCATGACACCTGTGTGACACAGCCGCCATAAAACCTGTGTGACACAGCCATGACACCTGTGTGACACAGCCGCCATGACACCTGTGTGACACAGCCGCCATGACACCTGTGTGACACAGCCGCCACTACACTTGTGTGACACAGCCGCCACTACACTTGTGTGACACAGCCACCATGACACCTGTGTGACACAGCCACCATGACACCTGTGTTACACAGCCACGGCCATGACACCTGTGTGACACAGCCATGACACCTATATTACACAGCCGCCATGACACCTGTGTGACACAGCCGCCATGACACCTGTGTGACACAGCCGCAACCATGACACCTGTGTTACACAGCCACGGCCATGACACCTGTGTGACACAGCCATGACACCTATGTTACACAGCCGCCATGACACCTGTGTGACACAGCCATGACACCTATGTTACACAGCCGCCATGACACCTGTGTGACACAGCCGCCATGACAACAGTGTGACACAGCCGCCATGACACCTGTGTGACACAGCCGCAACCATGACACCTGTGTTACACAGCCACGGCCATGACACCTGTGTGACACAGCCATGACACCTATGTTACACAGCCGCCATGACACCTGTGTGACACAGCCATGACACCTATGTTACACAGCCGCCATGACACCTGTGTGACACAGCCATGACACCTATGTTACACAGCCGCCATGACACCTGTGTGACCATTAAACCATTATGTTTTGCATTCTTTCAGAATCCTTCTCTTTTCCACCAAATCCATTCCATAACTGTACGTTTGCATGACGCTATTTTTATTGTATTTATTCTGATTCAGATTCAGACTTTATTCATTTATTTACAATTCTTTTGAGCAGCGGCATTAAAAAAACATACAATGATTCATTTTTCAGTCAGTGTAAAGAGTGTCTATTGTCTTTCAGATGGTTACTCAGCCAACCATGTCGTCCAGACTAAAGTAAACCAAAACCATTATGTACAAACTCAGTCTAACATGAACCACTTTCTGCACGTGCTCAGTCCATGTCCAACAATAACTCCCTTGTTTCTGTCCGTTACAGAAACCACCGTCTCAGCCCCTGCAGCTCATCCTCCATTAATTCACATTCACAAAGTACCTCCAAAGACTCTTAAAGACCAGACAAGTCCCGGAGGCCGCCTTCCCGTCCGCCGCCGCCGCCGCCGCCATCACCGCCGGCTCAACGGTCAACGAGCGGCGGCTACGGCAGCAACACAAATCCCCAAGTCGTCCCGGATAGATGCCTCCAAACCTTTAGCCTTAACACGTGTTCTGGGGACTGGAACCAACACACACCCGCCATCGCTAACACGTTCTGCTGCACTTGTTTTCGTCGATGGCGGTGGAGGTAAAGCCGTAGCTCAGGGACTGAATAATAAATGACGTGAGAGGGAGGCGTGCAGGTGAGAGAGGGTAACAAGGAGAGGGAGGTGTGCAGGTGAGAGAGGGTAACAAGGAGAGGGAGGTGTGCAGGTGAGAGAGGGTAACAAGGAGAGGGAGACGTGCAGGTGAGAGAGGGTAACAAGGAGAGGGAGGTGTGCAGGTGAGAGAGGGTAACAAGGAGAGGGAGGCGTGCAGGTGAGAGAGGGTAACAAGGAGAGGGAGGCGTGCAGGTGAGAGAGGGTAACAAGGAGAGGGAGGCGTGCAGGTGAGAGAGGGTAACAAGGAGAGGGAGGCGTGCAGGTGAGAGAGGGTAACAAGGAGAGGGAGGCGTGCAGGTGAGAGAGGGTAACAAGGAGAGGGAGGTGTGCAGGTGAGAGAGGGTAACAAGGAGAGGGAGGTGTGCAGGTGAGAGAGGGTAAGAAGGAGAGGGAGACGTGCAGGTGAGAGAGGGTAACAAGGAGAGGGAGGTGTGCAGGTGAGAGAGGGTAACAAGGAGAGGGAGGCGTGCAGGTGAGAGAGGGTAACAAGGAGAGGGAGACGTGCAGGTGAGAGAGGGTAACAAGGAGAGGGAGGTGTGCAGGTGAGAGAGGGTAACAAGGAGAGGGAGGCGTGCAGGTGAGAGAGGGTAACAAGGAGAGGGAGGCGTGCAGGTGAGAGAGGGTAACAAGGAGAGGGAGGCGTGCAGGTGAGAGAGGGTAACAAGGAGAGGGAGGCGTGCAGGTGAGAGAGGGTAACAAGGAGAGGGAGGTGTGCAGGTGAGAGAGGGTAACAAGGAGAGGGAGGTGTGCAGGTGAGAGAGGGTAAGAAGGAGAGGGAGGTGTGCAGGTGAGAGAGGGTAACAAGGAGAGGGAGGTGTGCAGGTGAGAGAGGGTAACAAGGAGAGGGAGACGTGCAGGTGAGAGAGGGTAACAAGGAGAGGGAGGTGTGCAGGTGAGAGAGGGTAACAAGGAGAGGGAGGTGTGCAGGTGAGAGAGGGTAACAAGGAGAGGGAGGCGTGCAGGTGAGAGAGGGTAACAAGGAGAGGGAGGTGTGCAGGTGAGAGAGGGTAAGAAGGAGAGGGAGGCGTGCAGGTGAGAGAGGGTAACAAGGAGAGGGAGGTGTGCAGGTGAGAGAGGGTAACAAGGAGAGGGAGACGTGCAGGTGAGAGAGGGTAACAAGGAGAGGGAGGTGTGCAGGTGAGAGAGGGTAACAAGGAGAGGGAGGTGTGCAGGTGAGAGAGGGTAACAAGGAGAGGGAGGCGTGCAGGTGAGAGAGGGTAACAAGGAGAGGGAGGTGTGCAGGTGAGAGAGGGGTAACAAGGAGAGGGAGGTGTGCAGGTGAGAGAGGGTAACAAGGAGAGGGAGGCGTGTAGGTGAGAGAGGGTAACAAGGAGAGGGAGGCGTGCAGGTGAGAGAGGGTAACAAGGAGAGGGAGGCGTGCAGGTGAGAGAGGGTAACAAGGAGAGGGAGGTGTGCAGGTGAGAGAGGGTAACAAGGAGAGGGAGGTGTGCAGGTGAGAGAGGGTAACAAGGAGAGGGAGGCGTGCAGGTGAGAGAGGGTAACAAGGAGAGGGAGGCGTGCAGGTGAGAGAGGGTAACAAGGAGAGGGAGGCGTGCAGGTGAGAGAGGGTAACAAGGAGAGGGAGGCGTGCAGGTGAGAGAGGGTAACAAGGAGAGGGAGGCGTGCAGGTGAGAGAGGGTAACAAGGAGAGGGAGGTGTGCAGGTGAGAGAGGGTAACAAGGAGAGGGAGGTGTGCAGGTGAGAAAGGGTAACAAGGAGAGGGAGGCGTGCAGGTGAGAGAGGGTAACAAGGAGAGGGAGGTGTGCAGGTGAGAAAGGGTAACAAGGAGAGGGAGGCGTGCAGGTGAGAGAGGGTAACAAGGAGAGGGAGGCGTGCAGGTGAGAGAGGGTAACAAGGAGAGGGAGGTGTGCAGGTGAGAGAGGGTAACAAGGAGAGGAAGGTGTGCAGGTGAGAGAGGGTAACAAGGAGAGGGAGGCGTGCAGGTGAGAAAGGGTAACAAGGAGAGGGAGGTGTGCAGGTGAGAGAGGGTAACAAGGAGAGGGAGGTGTGCAGGTGAGAGAGGGTAACAAGGAGAGGGAGGTGTGCAGGTGAGAGAGGGTAACAAGGAGAGGGAGGTGTGCAGGTGAGAGAGGGTAACAAGGAGAGGGAGGCGTGCAGGTGAGAGAGGGTAACAAGGAGAGGGAGGCGTGCAGGTGAGAGAAGGTAACAAGGAGAGGGAGGTGTGCAGGTGAGAGAGGGTAACAAGGAGAGGGAGGCGTGCAGGTGAGAGAGGGTAACAAGGAGAGGGAGGCGTGCAGGTGAGAGAGGGTAACAAGGAGAGGGAGGCGTGCAGGTGAGAGAGGGTAACAAGGAGAGGGAGGTGTGCAGGTGAGAGAGGGTAACAAGGAGAGGAAGGTGTGCAGGTGAGAGAGGGTAACAAGGAGAGGGAGGCGTGCAGGTGAGAGAGGGTAACAAGGAGAGGGAGGTGTGCAGGTGAGAGAGGGTAACAAGGAGAGGGAGGTGTGCAGGTGAGAGAGGGTAACAAGGAGAGGGAGGTGTGCAGGTGAGAGAGGGTAACAAGGAGAGGGAGGTGTGCAGGTGAGAGAGGGTAACAAGGAGAGGGAGGCGTGCAGGTGAGAGAGGGTAACAAGGAGAGGGAGGTGTGCAGGTGAGAGAGGGTAACAAGGAGAGGGAGGTGTGCAGGTGAGAGAGGGTAACAAGGAGAGGGAGGCGTGCAGGTGAGAGAGGGTAACAAGGAGAGGGAGGTGTGCAGGTGAGAGAGGGTAACAAGGAGAGGAAGGTGTGCAGGTGAGAGAGGGTAACAAGCAAGGAGAGGGAGGCGTGCAGGTGAGAGAGGGTAACAAGGAGAGGGAGGTGTGCAGGTGAGAGAGGGTAACAAGGAGAGGGAGGTGTGCAGGTGAGAGAGGGTAACAAGGAGAGGGAGGTGTGCAGGTGAGAGAGGGTAACAAGGAGAGGGAGGTGTGCAGGTGAGAGAGGGTAACAAGGAGAGGGAGGTGTGCAGGTGAGAGAGGGTAACAAGGAGAGGGAGGCGTGCAGGTGAGAGAGGGTAACAAGGAGAGGGAGGCGTGCAGGTGAGAGAGGGTAACAAGGAGAGGGAGGTGTGTAGGAGGTGTATTTATATTTCTATATTTGTATGTGTTTTTTGCGCTGTGCTAAGCCTAGGCTGGTTTTAAATGTGCTCCACAAATAAATATGTGCTTGTTTTGCTCTTATCCACATCAGATCTGGCAACCGTCGCTAAATTTGACCAAAACCAGTCCTGGACTTGACCTAAGCCTCAGTCGCTGCAACCGTTTGAGACCCACTGCCTTTGGAGAGATGCGAACATAAGAAACACTTCCACATGCCTTAAGGCGGCAAACAAGAAGCTGTGGATGTGCGGCAGGAGGAAGTCGATACGGCTGTGGACGGAGACCCCGGGGGCTCGTTTAGAATATGCTGATTGGTCGATGTGGCGCCTTTCAAAGCGGCAGAAACAGAGAGGAACGTTTCACAAAGTTCTCTGGTCTCTCTGAGTCCTAACAGCAGCGGAAACAAGAGAAAGGTTTTTGACTATCAGTCTCCCACTTACTCAGAAGGCGGATGGGGACGTGTGGGAGCCAATCAGAGAGCAGCAGAGTGGTCACATGGGTGTACACTGGGCCGAAGAGGAAGACACTCAAAAAAACATGCATGAGCTGAACCAGGACTAAACCAGGACTAAACCAGAAATAAACCAGGACTAAACCAGGACTAAATCAGGTCTAAACTCAGATTAGACCAGGTCAAAACCAGGACTAAACCATGTCTAAACCAAGACTAAACCAAGACTAAACAGGACTAAACCAGGACTAAATCAGGTCTAAACTCAGATTAGACCAGGACTAAACCAGGACTAAACCATGTCTAAACCAAGACTAAACAGGATTAAACCAGGACTAAACCTGGGTCCGTGCTTGTGAACATAAGCGATGCTAACGTGTCACTGATACAGAAGTACTGTTAAACTCATTAGCATATAAGCTCCGCCCACTTCCACTTTGTATATATTTCTCTTCTTCCCGTCGCAGCAAAATGACAGATTAACTAAATTTATCTTAAATTTAAACAGTCCATGCCTCAGCTTTAGACTGAGACTCAACCACTCAATGTTTTAAGTTTCTCTGACTTTAAATAAGTCATTTCTCGACAGCTTTAAACACTTTCTTCTCCTCTCGCTGTGTTGTTTCAGGGCGGCTCTTTCTCAGATGATGTCGTTCTGTGTCGAGCTGTCGAGATACAGAGCCCTGCAGTTAAAAGAGAGGCCATATATTTCCCCGGGGGCAGAGATAGTGAGCGACCTGACAGAGGCCACACGAGCTCCGGAGGTAAACACAGCCGTACATACTGCACTCCGCTGCCAAAAGGGGAGTAGAAGAAGAAGTGTAAATATAAAGTTCTGCCAAAGATAGGACTCTTTAAAGACGTTTTATTTAGTTACTGTTCTTTGTGACGATTTAATTCCCGCTGTCATCTGCGAAAGGAGGGAATCAATAATTAGACAACAGTCACAAATGTTCACAGGGCTAAAAATAAAAGCGTGCGAGAAACAACAATGAAAGGTTTGGCCTAGAATCGTTCATCAAAAAACAGATTCTATTCTAGTTTAAGACAGCCGACTCTGAGCATGACATAAATAGTACGTTATGCTTGTGTTTCATATGACGTCAGGGCAGAATAACAAACGTGAGACAGGACGTGACGTACCCTGGCGGTGCAGTCTGCCGGGTTTATACACGGAGATATAGTAGAAGAAGAAGCGGTTTATACACGGAGATATAGTAGAAGAAGAAGCGGTTTATACACGGAGATATAGTAGAAGAAGAAGCGGTTTATACACGGAGATATAGTAGAAGAAGAAGCGGTTTATACACGGAGATATAGTAGAAGAAGAAGCGGTTTATACACGGAGATATAGTAGAAGAAGAAGCGGTTTATACACGGAGATATAGTAGAAGAAGAAGCGGTTTATACACGGAGATATAGCAGAAGAAGAAGCATCTTTGTGTGCGGTGTACGCTTGTAGCAACCGCACAAATAGAGAGAAAGACCAGAGTTTGTTCATGTTCCAACTGTGATCTCATATAAAGGACACTGGAATCACTGGAATGAGGCGGGCGAGGTGGATCAAGGCTTTCCCAGATAAGCGCCCCCTGCAGGCCACCCCAAAGAAACACAGACATTTCTTCTGTTTTTTTTTCTCAAAAATCCCCGAAATCAAGACTGTTTTGAGAAATATTTGTTAGTACTTCCTTAGAATTGAGTGTCCCCGATTAAGACTGTTCCAACAACCGTACAACACTGTCCCATTACTGCTCATGCGCCCCCTACAGGCCAGTTTAATGAAACACAAGAATTGATTACTGTAAACTATTATAGCCAGAGACATACCATCTGCGGGCCCACAGTCTCCCATCCAAGTCAAAACCAGGCCCTATATTGCTTAGCTTTGGAGATGGGGCGAGTGCGGGCTTCGAAAACCAGGTTTATAGCAAGTACCACATTATAAAGTACTTTCTCATTATTATGTCTTGTCCACTTCTTGTAATATGTTATACTTGTGGTGATTTTAGTTGATAAAAATAAGATTTTATTTATTTTTCCAATTTCAATGTCAAATTTCATGTCATATAATCTTATTTTTTAAAGGTATATATGAGTATTTTCTACTTCCGAGTGGATCAAGACTAATATTACTCATAGTTACGGATGTTTGCAGAAGCAGAGACAAATCTATCAGACCAATGGATCAGAAATAATGTAATGATAACAACAACAGGTAAAATAACTAGTGAATTATGATCAGAGCAGTGGAGTGTATAGACTCAGCTGTTCTCGTTGTACAGTCTGACAGCAGCAGCACATTAAACACAAGTTCCAGCTTCTTCAGAGCAATGAAGAATCTCCTCTAATATTTATACCTTTCCTCTCCATCCATTATAGAGCACCCCCCCCCCCCTCCCCCACAGCGCCTCACACCCCCCCCCCCCCCCCCCCTCCCCCACAGCGCCTCACCCCCCACACCGCCGCACCCCCGCGGACACTAACAGAGCCGCAGTGTTTATGTGACATCACCAGGACTGGGTCTGCGTAATGGCAGCTCGGCCTCAGTCACAGACACATGGGATCAGAACGAGCAGGGACCGTGGGCAGGACCAGAGCGAGACTGAGTGGACATAAATATTTGGGTTGATTTGTCATCGTTATGAGCAGCTGGGTCTGCTCAAGGGAGAGGGAGAGGGGGGGGGGGGGGGGGGGGGGGGGGGGGAGAGGGGGGGGGGGGGCTGAGGGAGGGAGGACGAGGTGAGGGTGAGGGGGTGAGGGTGATGCATTTGACCCATCCCGTTGATGCCACGTACAGTACTTTCAATTTTATACAGAGCCTATTGTGCACAGGACCTATAATATAATAATAAAAATAAATAGTAATAATAATGATAATAATAATGATAGCACGGTGGCTGAGTGGATAGCACTCTTGCCTCTCAGCAAGAAGGTCCTGGGTTCGAATCCCGGTCGGACCAGGGCCTTTCTGAGTGGAGTTTGCATGTTCTCCCCGTGTCTGCGTAGGTTTCCTCCGGGTACTCCGGTTTCCCCTACCACTAAAAATATGTCCAATAGTTCTGGCATGCGCCTCCTGTACTGGCGACCCCGCTCCCATCTCTGTGTGGAGTGAGAGACAAATGCCCAAAATTAACAAATGTAAACCACTTTGAGACTCAGATCTGCAGTGAAAAGGCGGTATATAAATAAAAACTTACTTACTTACTTACTTACTAATAATAATAATAACGATAATAATAATAATAATATTAATAATAATAAATGTTAAAGCGCTGCACAGTCAGAATAAGTGTCTTGCCCAAGGACACAGCGACAGCAGACATTGATAGGAGCAGGTGGAGAAGGTCCCGTGATGGGCTCGAACCCATGACCTTCAGGCTCAAAGGCCAATGCTCTACCAACTGAGCCACTGTCGCCAAAAGCCACCAATGAAAGTAACAAACAAAAAAACGCTGGTGAAAACATAACCCTCTGCGCAGTAACATGTGACTGTAGTGATTTTGACAAGTTTCCTTTAACCACAACTATTTAAATATCACACACACACACTCCAACACACACATGCTCCGACACACACATGCTCCGACACACACATGCTCCGACACACACACGCTCCCACACACACACACTCCAACACACACATGCTCCGACACACACATGCTCCAACACACACATGCTCCGACACACACACACGCTCCCACACACACACGCTCCGACACACACATGCTCCAACACACACATGCTCCGACACACACATGCTCCGACACACACACACACACATGCTCCGACACACACACGCTCCCACACACACACGCTCCGACACACACATGCTCCGACACACACACGCTCCGTCACACACACATGCTCCGACACTCACATGCTCCGACACACACACACTCCGACACACACACACGCTCCGACACACACACACACTCCAACACACACACGCTGACACACACACACGCTCCGACACACACATGCTCCGACACACACACACACGCTCCGACACACACACACACACGCTCCGACACACACACACACACGCTCCGACACACACACACGCTCCCACACACACACGCTTCCACACACACACACATGCTCCGACACACACACACACACACACGCTCCGACACACACACACGCTCCCACACACACACATTTAGACTGAAGTGGTGCACACAGAGACAGCTACACATTTACAGTTGATAAAACCGACTTATGGCCGCGCCGCCATAACCAGGACAGCAACGCTGTCCTGGTTATGTGCTATCCACATGGCGGCACGGTGGCTGAGTGCTATCCACTCAGCCACCGTGCCGCCAAGACACTGTTGGTAAAAACACTGTTGGTAAAAACACTGTTGGTAAAAACACTGTTGGTAAAGACACTGTTGGTAAAAACACTGTTGGTAAAGACACTGTTGGTAAAGACACTGTTGGTAAAAAAACTGTTGGTAAAGACACTGTTGGTAAAAACACTGTTGGTAAAGACACTGTTGGTAAAGACACTGTTGGTAAAAAAACTGTTGGTAAAGACACTGTTGGTAAAAACACTGTTGGTAAAGACACTGTTGGTAAAAACACTGTTGGTAAAAACACTGTTGGTAAAAACACTGTTGGTAAAAACACTGTTTGTAAAAACACTGTTGGTAAAGACACTGTTGGTAAAAACACTGTTGGTAAAAACACTGTTGGTAAAGACACTGTTGGTAAAAACACTGTTGGTAAAAACACTGTTGGTAAAAACACTGTTGGTAAAAACACTGTTGGTAAAAACACTGTTGGTAAAGACACTGTTGGTAAAAACACTGTTGGTAAAGACACTGTTGGTAAAGACACTGTTGGTAAAAAAACTGTTGGTAAAGACACTGTTGGTAAAAACACTGTTGGTAAAGACACTGTTGGTAAAAACACTGTTGGTAAAAACACTGTTGGTAAAAACACTGTTGGTAAAAACACTGTTGGTAAAGACACTGTTGGTAAAGACACTGTTGGTAAAGACACTGTTGGTAAAAACACTGTTGGTAAAGACACTGTTGGTAAAAACACTGTTGGTAAAAACACTGTTGGTAAAAACACTGTTGGTAAAGACACTGTTGGTAAAGACACTGTTGGTAAAAACACTGTTGGTAAAGACACTGTTGGTAAAGACACTGTTGGTAAAAACACTGTTGGTAAAAACACTGTTGGTAAAGACACTGTTGGTAAAAACACTGTTGGTAAAGACACTGTTGGTAAAAACACTGTTGGTAAAGACACTGTTGGTAAAGACACTGTTGGTAAAAACACTGTTGGTAAAGACACTGTTGGTAAGTAAGTAAGTAAGTAAGTAAGTTTTTATTTATATACCGCCTTTACACTGCAGAGCTGAGTCTCAAAGCGGTTTACAATTGTTAATTTTGGGCATTTGTATCTCACTCCACACAGAGATGGGAGCGGTCGCCAGTACAGGAAGCGCATGCCAGAACTATTGGACATATTTTTAGTGGTAGGGGAAACCGGAGTACCCGGAGGAAACCTACGCAGACACGGGGAGAACATGCAAACTCCACTCAGAAAGGCCCTGGTCCGACCGGGATTCGAACCCAGGACCTTCTTGCTGAGAGGCGAGAGTGCTATCCACTCAGCCACCGTGCCGCCAAGACACTGTTGGTAAAAACACTGTTGGTAAAAACACTGTTGGTAAAGACACTGTTGGTAAAAACACTGTTGGTAAAGACACTGTTGGTAAAGACACTGTTGGTAAAAAAAACTGTTGGTAAAGACACTGTTGGTAAAAACAC